GGTAGCTTTTCTTTTTTGAGTTTTTTGTTGTGGGTTTGGTTTGGTTTGGTTTGGTTTGGGTGCGGTGCGGTTTTTTGTTGTTGTGTTTGTTTGTTTGTTTGTGTGTTTGTTTGGTTTTAGTTTTGTTTTTTTCTGTTTTTGAGACAGGGTTTGTACGGTGGTTTAAATAGGTGTGGCTCCCATAGACTCATGTGCATGAATGCTTAGCCCATAGGGAATGGCACTATTAGGAGGTGTGGCCTTGTTGGAGGAAGTGTGTCACTGTGGGGGCGGGCTTTGAGATCTCCTATGTTCAAGCTAGGCCCAGTGTGACAGACAGTTTCCTGCTGCCTGCAGATCCAGATGTAGAACTCTCAGCTCCTTCTCCAGCACCATCTCTGCCTGCACGCCACCATGCTCCCCCCCCCCATGATGACAATGGACTAAACCTTAGAAACTGTAAGCCAGCCCCCAATTAAACCTTTTTCTTTATAGGAGTTGCTGTGGTCATGGTGTCTCTTCACAGCAATAGAAACTCTAAGACAGTTTCACTTTGTAGCTGTGGCTGTCCTGGAACTCATTCTGTAGACCAGGCTGGCCTAAAACTCACAGATATCTGCCTGCCTCTGCCTCCCGAGTACTGGGATTAAAAGCGTGTGCCACCACTGCCTAGGCTCAGCTAGCCTTTTTGTACAGCCCAGGCCCACATGCGTAGTGTTGGCACCACCCAGAGTGGGCGGGGCTCCTTACATCAAGGCAATCAACACAATCCCCCGGGTGCAGCTCCCCACTCAGGTGATTCTAGTTTGTGGAAAAATGATATTGAAAGCAGCTGTCACCGACACATTCTATATTACACAGCACCTGTGATTTGAAGAGGGTTAGTCAACTTTTAACAGATTTGTGTTTCAAGTACATAAAAGTTGAAACCAGCCAGAAGGCCACACACACACACACACACACACACACACACACACACACAAAAGAACATTTCTATATTTTGAACAGTAGCTTTCAACTTATCTTTTTAACTGCCACATTTTAATTTTTATAGTAATAAACAACGTAACAGAATAAACAGAATAAACAACGTAACAGCATTCTGAGAGACGCTTCCCATAGAAAGGTCCTCAAATAGTCATTTATCCCTGTAATCTACAGAATTTACTTTCATGAGGCCTTTACAGGGGCCTCTAACACAGAGTGACTTGGATTCTGATGTCTTTAAAAGCCACTTTCTAACTCAGGTTGGAGCAGAGAACATTAAATTCCAAACGACACACTTTGAAAGTAAAGGCGCGGAAACATGTTTCATGCTCTCTGCTGCTTCCCCAAGACATTGGTCTCAGGGTTCATTCAGCATGTGAGTGTTGCTGGCACAGTAAGGTAGGCGCTGAGGTGGCAAGAAGCAACTTCCTCCGGCTCCTGTGTTAAACTTCAAGCCATAAGCTCCTCCCACCTGGCAGCCAACTGACTTCCTCTTCTCCACTGTCTGCAGGACTTGAATGTCCATGCTCTTTGCATTCTTTTCTCCCTTCTCCTTCTCCTCCTCCTCATTTTTGACCTTTTTAAATTTTTGTTTTTTTGTTTCTTTTTCTGTCTATCTTTTTTCTGTCTCAGTATGTCACCATGGCTGGACTAGAACTCACTTGATTAGATTTTGTTTCTTTCTGCTTGATGGTAAGTTCCACAATGAGAGTGAAGTTTTCATGGTGGCATACAGGGTTCTTTAAAAACTATTTTTTGAGGAAGAAGAAGAGGAGGAGGAAGAGCCGGAGGAAAAAATGAATAAGTGGTACAATTCGGTTTTGAATCCATCTGGACATAAGCATGTTTTAGTTGGAAGATTTTGCATTACTATTCCAATTTCCTTATTTGTTACAGGCCTCCTCTTGATTTATCTTTCTTGGTTAGGTTGAAGTAATTAAAGAGGAGAGGTCGTAAATCTGAGGAGGGATCTGAAAGAACTTTGAAAGGAGAGAGGAAGAGCTGGAAATTATTTAACTGTAGTACTCATGTGAAATTATCAAAATATTAAATTAAAACTAGAATGAACATAAATCTTTAAAATAAAAATACAACCAAATATTGTGATATTATTGATCTGTACTTTCTATTTCCATTCTTGTTTTATGTTGTGTATTTCCGAAAAGGTATTTGTTGAATTAATCAATCAAGAGAAACCTGTATTTAAATAACTGGCCTCAATTATAACATGAAGCCACAAGCAAATCCCAAAACTTGCTTTCTTCTAGCTTTTTAAAAATTTTTTATTAAATTTTTTTCTTTGATGATTTCATATATGCATAAAATATGTTATGCGTACTCTCGCCTCCTGGTCCTTTCACATCCCTCCCATTCTGTTATTGTCCCCTCTTCTCTGTGAGTCCTCCTCCCACACTTAGGTTGTTTCACACTGAGTTTAGCTAGGACCATCTGTGTGGTCATAGGTGGGGAACTATCCATTGGAGCCTGGTGGGTTAAACAATGGGTACAATTTCAGAAAATGACTGTGCTCCCCCAGAATCCATCAGTGACCAATAATCCAAAAGTGAAGAAGAGAAGGCACCCAAGGGTCCCTTCCAAACCCATGATTGATGGTTGACAGCCTCAGGTTTGTGCAAGTTCAGTACTGGCAGCCTTAGTTTTGATGACATCATGATTGTGATGGCTCTGTCATGCCCAAAACAAAGCGTTTCCCAGCTCTCTCCTCTATCTTCTAGCTTCTACATACTTTCTGCTCCCTCTTAGAGATGTCTCCCAAGCCTGAGAGAGGGTGGGATGCAGGTGTTTCGTTTAGGGCTGAGCAATCAACCTCCACAAATTCTCAGGCCCTTGATTAGCCAGGAGTCTCTGCATTCACCACAATTCACTGCAAAGGGAAGCTTTTCTGACTAAGGCTGAGAGTAGCTTTTGTCCGTGGGTACAAACAAATTATTTAGAAAGCAGATTGGCACCATATCAATTTAAATAGTACCAAGTCCTCCACCAGGCTTAAGGTTCCCCCAGCCATGGGTTTCAGACTGGGTCTATAGTACCAAGTATGAAGTCTTTCCTATAGAGTTGGCCTCAAATCCAATCAGAGAGAGAGAGAGAGAGAGTGGTTGCCCCCAGAACAGTCATGCCACTATTGCACCATTCTGGTACCATAGAATGGAGCTGGAAACAAAGATGAAAACATTGTATTGGCAAGGCTGGATGTCCAGCAAGCTCCAGAGATTCACTTGTCTCTCTCCCCCTGGTGAGTATAATCACATGCAGACGTGCCCAGTGTTTACATGGGTGCTATGGATTTGAACTCAGGTCCTTCTGCTTGCAGAGCAAACACTCTTATTCACTGAGCCCTCTCCCCAACCCGTTTTGCATTTCTTTTTTAAAATGTATTCCTCAGTGGATATTCTTTTTGATGCCAGTGTAAATGGAACTGGTATTTAAATTTCATTTTTAGATTGTTCATTGCAAATGGACATAACTATGTTTGAGTTTAACATATTTATCTTGAACCCTGCAACCTTGGGGACTAATAGTATATTGGTGGATTCCTTCATATTTCCATATGTATCATCAACCATCTGTGAGAAGATATCATTTTATTCCATCCTTACCAATCTATAAGTGCCAAACCTCCTTAGCTAAAATTTCCAAGATAATGTAGGATGGAATCGATAAGAGCAAACAAATTATTATTCTTTATCTTAAAGAAGTGGTTCTCAATCTGTGGGTTGTGATCCCTTTGGCAAACCCCTATCTCCAAAAATATTGATATTTTGATTCATAACAGTAGCAGAATTAGAGTTATAAAGAAACAATGAAAATAATTATTTTATGGTTGGGGCTCACCACAACATGAAGAACTGTATTGAAGGGCAACACATTAGGAAGGTTGAAAACCACCGTCTTAAAATCACTCCTCTTTTTGTCATTAGGTGTGTTTGCTGAGGGGTTTCCTACGCCTATTAGACTGAGGAAGCACCCCTCTACTCCTAGGCTACTAAAAGTTTTCCGTAGGCATGTGTAATGCTTTTGCTGAGCCAACGGAGATGACCTTGTGGGTTTTGTTGCTTTCAAGTCGGCCAATACAATGCATTACATTAATTGATTTTCAGAAGTTAAAAATATAACCTCACATTTCTTGGTTAAAACAATACGTTTCTAGATTCATGAAGAATTTGGAACTCAGGTAGCTAAAATGGTCTTGAAAGAAAAGATTAAAATAGAAGTACTACTTTCTAAATTAAAATAATGATAATAATAATACCACAGAGCAAAGGTATTTAAGACAACATCATATTTGCACAAGGGTAGAAATAGAGATCAATCGACTAGAAGTGAGAATCCAAAAATAAACCCACATAGCTATGGTCAATATCAATACATTTTTGCAAAGATTCTAACACATGAGGCACAAAGAATAGTCTGTTAGACAAATTATGCACAGTAGATGGTTGTCTATGTGTAGAAACTATGATCAGACCCTTACATAACAGAGATTTTAATTATACACGTGTGTATGTGAGCATGGGCCCATGGACACCGTGCACATGCAGATGGCCCTGAAGGTGCAGGTGATTGGAGCCACCTGATGTGGGTGCTGAGAACTAAACCCAGGTGCCCTGAAGGAGGAAGACATGCTCTTAACCACTAGAGTTACCTCCCTAGATCCCTACATAGTTCAATTTTCTGACCAAAAAAGTCACACATATAACATAATACTTGCAGAAAGAGTATACACCGAAACAGCACTCATGATTACCTTGTACTATGAACTTGTACAGATAAGTCTTTACAGTAAGCAAAGACTGTCCTGGCACAAGAAACTAGTCTTAAAAATCTATATGCAAGTAAGACTTCCTCATCAACGTAGTCAAAGGAATCAAAAGAACAATGGACGGGAGAGCGTGCTAGAGAGGAAGACAGGCAGCTGTTCACCGTGGCTGTAGAAGTGGTTTTGTTGGTACATCTAGTGCCCAGGAATGAACGTGACAACTGCCCCGAGGCGTGCATGTCCACACACCAATTACCTGCTTTAGCGGTGACAAGCTGAAGTACAAGAGGTCGTCTGGTCACGATGCCTGAGCCCCGAGGAAGAAAGTCCCTGAAAACAAACAAGAAGCAAAGATGAAGGCATTATGGAATTTTAAACTGGGCTCCATGGTAATCCTTCTAGCCTCCCAATCTTTCAACATGTTCTCTGTCTCAAGAAACCAAGACCCATCTAGAAAAGAGGTATTTGCAAAGTTCAAGGAGAAAGAAAGCTTGTATCGGCAAATGGTCCATTAATACGTAATTTCCTCACTAAAATACAGCACTCATTTGCCTAGGTAGGATTAATAAAGGTTACTTAAGTTTCTGTGTGTTGCCCATTCATTTTCACTCTCAGAGAATGTACATTAATTTTTAAAATGGTCTAATGCTGAAAGTAATTCCAGAACTTCTGATAACTGCAAAATTAGTACTGGCTTTGGCTTCCACATTAATATTAGCACCATCAAATGTTGGCCATAAAAGGGTGAAATATACTGTCTTTTCTAGATATCCTGAATTTTTTCTTCAATAAGAAAACTCACAAAAATGTGGTCTCAAATGGAAGAAAATATTACATCATAGAAATTAACACTAGAAAAAAAATATTGCAACTTAAGTGTTTCTTACTGTCCCTGTTAAGTGGGAGATTTCTGAGAAAGATTATGTTGAAAATGGCATGTTAACACAGCATACACACACCAATAAACCTGCAGCAAAGGAAGCATTGCATTAAACTACATGGCAACCCCACATGTACCATTAGCAATTCTGCAGTGTCAGAGAATTCGTGAACACCTGTCCCACAACTGCTGTCTGTCTTGCTGCTTTGTTTTGTTGTTGTTAAGTACTGGGAACTGAACTCAGAGCTTGGAGTATACTGTGCAAATGCCCTCCCACTGAGCTATATGTATCTGCATCCTTCTCTTCACTTTTTGTTTTGATCTCGCTAAGAGGCTCAGATTGAACTTGAGTTCACTCTGCAGCTCAGACAGGGCTTGAACTTGCCATCCTCTGGCCTCAGGCCCTGCTTATGTAATAGTTTCAAAGCATATTTACAATGCCTCACAACTGTAGAAAGAATGTCACAGAATTCTATTCAAAACAAACCTTTGACTCAATGACTTCAGGGACAGTGTTTCTCACAATTGAAATTCTAGGACCATCAAAAGAGAGAACTCCAGACACCCAGGACCCAGCCTCAGTGGTACATACTAACAGTACTTAGGGCAGGGGTTAACTCCCAGGAGATCCTAATGTTCACCGGGGTTTGCTCAGTACCTCACAGTCACACTGCTACACGGGAAACAGTGAAATTTCAATGCACAAGCCACCAGAGGCACTGCTATTCTCAGTGGGAGTCACAAAGACAAAATTAAGTAAATTTTTTTCTCTATAACTATTATTGTGTAAGTGCTAAAATACATTCTGGATGAGTTCATCGTAATGAACTTTTGCCTATCCTTTACCTAAACCAATCCTTTACCCCAAGGGCTGAGAACCTTGTAGAAGTTACTAGATGCTGTTGAAATAGAGACAAAGGATGTCTGTGTCTGAACTTTTAAAATGCCGCTTGAAATAAGTGATATTTTTTTAATTCATACAAAAATGCACTGACTGAGCGGAATGTGGTGGTGTGCACCGCAACCCCCAACAGTCAGAAAGGTGAGGCAGGAGAATCCTGAGTTCAAGGCCAGCTGAGCCACACAGGAAGACTCTGTCTCAAACAAGGGAACAAAAACACAGAACAGAGCATCTATGTTCTGTGCCTACAACCAGAAGGGAAGGAGTTCATTTGAAAGTCAAAATGAATGAAGGGAAAAACACGAGAGTAGAAAGCTGGAAAAAAAAAATCTGCGTTTCTGTGAATGAAGTTTTAAGCTTTGTAGATGCCAAAGAGAAATGTAAGGTCTGAAATGCCTGAAAACTGCCATTTAGAAATGCAAATATTCCTCAATGAGAAAGGGATAGAGGGAAAGGCAGGGAGAGGAAAGGAGCGCGGATGAACAGAGTCTTGTTGACTGCGTACCCTCTCGCAGGGGCCAGTTTCAGCCTGTGTTTGTGATTCTGTTTACATGATGTGGACTTAGCTCCCCCTCCGCTGGCTATGGGTAACGTGAACCATATATAATACTTTAGACAACTGACTGTTCTGTTTACTTTCAGGTGTCTGGCTGAAAGGAAACCCACGGATACACTAATGCGTCTTTCTACCTTGTTTTAACCAATCAAGCCTAAAGTCTCATTGTGAGGAATGAGGAGGATTCCGACATCTAGCCTGTGAGTTTCTTACTCACAGTCTGCCTCTTACTCACAGTCTGCCTCTAATATATACTCTCGCCAACCATGAAGACATTGGGTGAGGAAATCTGGCTATCTGGAACTCTCTCCCATTTCACAGGAGCCTCTACTGTAAAGCAAACCCCTCGAGAAAAAAATCTCCCTTTAATGGAGAAGTGGGTGTTCAGGCTGGCACCCTGAAAGTGCATCTCATTCTAATGACCCAGCAAAACTAGAACCATATGCTCAGAGCCTTCCTGCTGTGTGAGCTGAGGGAAAGGACCTCAAGGGAGACAGAGAACACTGACTTGCAGCTCCACCGTTGCACAGGCAGAGAATTTTCTCTAAATATGTTCCAGTATTCTACCTAAGCACCAAATCATATGGCTAAAATGAAATGCAGCATGTGACAACCTATTAAAAACCCAAGTACCATGAAAATGCACATCCATATTGCTACAGTTATTACTACATTATAGTCATAATGTGCTCCCCCTAATATCGTAGTATTCTCTTGCAAAAATGCCCTAAATCCCTATTTACAAAATGTTAGCGCTTCCAGAATTGAATATGAGATAAGGGGCCACAGACCCTATCTGAACTACCCTCTTGGTGCAGCCCAGCTGCAGTGGTTTGGACGCTTAGTTTGGTAGCCCTGCCTCCTTCCACACCAAGCCAGGCACTGACACAAACAATCTTGAATAATTCATTAGCCATTGAGTGCAATCATCCACTTGGTTTTCAGTTCTCCTGTGCAATAGACAGTTAGCCTTTTGTCTCTCATCAGCGTGTCTTATGGTGAAATGAGTTTACTACATTAAAGAACAGGAGCTAATGGCTGTCCCTTTAGTTGTACTTTTAATTTAATATATGGATCTTCTTTATTATTATCTAATACACACATAGAGAAATAAGAGGGGCCAGAGATCCCATTTAAACCACACACATATACACACACCAATGAGGCACCTGTCTACCCAGTCTCAGCATTAAGCTTTTCAGAGAAGTACATGCTTTTCCCACTTGCATGATTCCTAAGAAAAAAGCAAAAAAGAAAAGAAAATTCTGTATTGAATCTGTAGCATTTCTTACTGAGCTTTTCAGAAATTTAGAATGCCAAGAAATGTTATTTTTGTTCCAGTAGGAAATGGTTGGACTTTGGAAGCCCTATCAGGAGAGCACAGCTGCTGTCTCCAAAAAACTTACACAAGTTTTCCTTCTTCGCAGCAAATAAGTACAGAGATGGCTTCCTCCAAAAGGGCTAAGTGACCATTAATCAGATGGTTTGCTCAATAAATAAATGCTTAACAACTTTTTATAACTAAATATGGAGGTGTAACTCCAACTCTCCTAGGAACCGATTCCTGTAGCTGATTCCACGATATGTAAGCTCGCTCTTGAAGGAGAAATACACACAATGACTTGACTAAGCATGGCAGATGCCAGAGATATGCTCCACGCAGCATGGAGAAGCAACAGAGAACAAGTAGTATCTGTTCTGTGTGCGTGAAACAACCTCAGGGAGGAAATGTGAAGCAAGGGGCATTCCACAGCTTAATTCGAAGGCCTGGGAAACAACTGGGGAATAGGACATTGAGTAACTGTATGTATTAAAGGTCAGAAAGAGACAGAAAAGGAAGTGGACCTCAGCCACCTTCCTTATGGGTGGGTGTGCTTGTTTTCATGAGAGTAATAGAGACATGGAGGGAGATTTAAGTTGTAATATACACATTACAGAAAACAACAACAACTAGAGTGTTGAAAAAGGGAGACATGGAAGATTAGGAAAACAGACACTGGCCAGTCTCAGTCATTCATGAAGAGAATGAGAGTTAGGTCCAAGGCAGTAATGATAGAAAAAAAGAGAAAACAAATGGCAGGATTTGTGGAAAGGTTATGATAAACCTCACAGTGGTCTACTAATCAAGACACAATATTCAGGAAGAGAAAGGTTTGGTTATAAATGATATGTCCATTTACTAGTATCAGCCTCTCTCTCTCTTTCCCTGTCTCTCCCTCCCTCCCTCTCTCTCTCTCATGTTTTGCTCAATATTATATTATATTAGTATGTTATTCTATATTTTAAAAAATTACACCACATAAGACACAATACTCACATTTGTAATTGTAGGACTTAAGGAGCCAAGGATGAAGAATCATGGGTTCAAGATCAGCTTGGAATATACAGCATGCAGTTAGACCCTGACTCAAAATTAATAGATTAATAACAATAATAATAATAGTCACACTAACTTCTAAAATTTCTTTACTTAGATGTCTTGAACCAATATCACTACAATTCAACTCATTATTCAACTCAATTGAACATGTTTTCCTTCTTCATTCCCAGTCATTACCCACTTCATCCACATCCATATATACTGGCCAAAAGCAGCACCTGGAGGCCAGACTCCCTCTATTGGCCTCTGTCATCTACTCCAAATGGGTCACTAAGTCCTGCTGCTACACTTTTTGGCATCTCTTCAGTCATCATCTCTTCTCTTTCAATCACTTCAGGTAACCAACAAGTAGGCTACAAGTAATCTCATAAGTAATTTCTCTTAATCCAACTTGAGCACCATCCAAGACAGCTTTCACAGAAATCCCACATCATCATTTCCAGATTTTCTGTCAGTAAGTGACTTCCCATTGTCTTCAGGATAAAGTCCAAATCTTAGTATCACATAGGAAATATTTTATTTCTTACTATTTCCCTGAAGACACCTCAGGTCGAGGGCTCCTCGCATTTCATTTGACCTTCTATTTAGACAATTATGCAATACATGCTGACTG